AGATGTTGGTGCGCATAACTTCCATGATGGCGTGTTTTCATCATCCGTGAAGTTAAGGATATTGCGATAGAGTTGACCATTGGCTATTGTGAAATCTGGAAACCTGTCTGGACTTGTCTGTACTTCCTCGAATTTCCTTGTGAACCACTTACAATTACTTTGTCTGGACTCTGGAATTATTTGCGCAACATTTTCAACCGGTTGTCTGGACAACGCATCCGCGATGACATTTAATTTACCTTTTCGATATTGAACTTCGAATTGATATTGTTGCAACTCTAACGCCCATCTGGCAATACGTCCGGTTGGGTTGTTAATTGAGTTTAACCATTTGAGTGCCAGGTGGTCAGTGATAATTGTAAATTGGTATCCTTCGAGGTATGGTCGCATTTTGCGAATTGCCCAAACTATTGCTAAGCATTCTTTTTCAGTGGCTGAGTACTTTTCCTCGGTTTGGTTTAAATGCCGGCTTGCATAGGCAATGACATGTTCGACGTTGTTGATGGATTGTGTTAATACTGCTCCCAGTCCATGGTTACTTGCGTCTGTCTGGAGAGTAAACGGGAGATTGAAATCTGGACAAGCGAGAACTGGTGCTTCTGTTAGTTTCCTTTTAAGCTCGTTGAAGGCATCTTGTTGTTCTGATCCCCACTTCCAATGTTTACCCTTTTTTAAAAGTGTTGTTAACGGGTGTATTATTCTGGAGAAATCTGGCACGAATCGCCTATACCATGAAGTGACTCCGATGTATTGTCGTAGTTGTTTTAGACTTGTCGGTGGGTTTAATTTTTGTATCGCTTCAACTTTTTCTGGATCAGTGTGTATACCTTGTTCGCTTATTACATGTCCTAGGTATTTTGTTGATGTCTTGAAGAACTCGCACTTTTCACTGTTAATTCTTAGGTTTGCTTCGCGAAGTCGTCTTAACACTGTACTTAGGTTTTCTTTGTGTTCCTCGTAGCTGCTGCCCGTGACGATTATATCATCCAAATATGCAAAAGCGTAAGGTTCTAGATCCACCCCTATTACTCGATCTAACGCCCGTTGAAAAGTGGCGGGCGCAGAATGTAGGCCAAAAGGCATCACTTTCCATTGAAATAATCCGCGACCGGGCACAGTGAAGGCTGTATATTGTTTACTACTCTGTTCCATTGGGATTTGCCAGTATTCATCGCGAAGATCCAGATTGCTGATATATTTGGCATTCCTTAACCTATCTAAAATGTGGTGAATGCGAGGTAGAGGGTAAGCATCGGGGATTGATTGTGTGTTTAGTTGACGATAGTCTATACAGAACCTCCACTTGCCATTTTTCTTCCGTACCAACACAGTTGGAGCACAGTATGCGCTTCTCGACGGTTCGATGTAATCGTTCTTTAATAGCTCGTTAACATGTTCATTGATGATTGCTTGCATCGCCGGGTTGCGTGGGTAATATTGTTGTTTGATGGGTTGCTCGTGACACATGATAATGCGATGTTCCGTAATATTACTGGGTCCGTTAATCTGTGAAAACTTGTCTAATTCCGGTTTCAAAAATTCCTTGAATTTTACCTCCATTGTTTTTTGTTTTGATGTTGATACTTGTATGATGTTTGCTACCGTAGTCCCGTGTTTGTGATATCTAAACTGCAAATTTTGACCTCTGCAAGTTAATGAGGCTCCCATAGCAGCCAAAAAGTCCAGTCCCAAAATTACCTCATCGATCAGGTTTGGTAGTAGAATTAATCTGAACTTTGTGGTTCTTGTCCCGAGCGTGATAGATGTTGCCATTTGTTGCTTGGTGGAGTGTTGTCCGCCATCCGCCATACGTACTTGTGTGGGTTCAGAGTTAAGAAAGATTTTTCCCTTAAGTTTTGCTGCCGTTTGCGAATTGATGAAACTTCGCGAGGATCCTGTATCGATCGTTGCTTTTATGACTTGTTGATTAATAGTTACTTGGGCCGACAGACGTGTTTCACTGAGCTTCATGCATCCTACTGGTGGGACGGGGTGTTGTCTTGTGGTCTCATCGCCCCGTTCTGTCGATGGACCCTGGTTTCGTTTTCCTGGTTCCTGCAGCAATCAATTGTACGTTTTCCTCTTTTCCCGCATTCCCAGCAAAATAAGATGCTTGTAAACCGACAATTCCACCTCAAGTGTCCTTGTTGCCCGCAACGACGACAAGCTGTCCTGACATGTTTGATCTTGTCTTCAGATGCATCAATCACTCGTGCTTTGATCTCCTTAGCCGGTAACGTATTTCTTACTTGACGGTCTGTAGCGGTCAGTGCCTCCAGGTCCCCAGCTAATGTCAACAGCTCTGATAATGACTGGAAGTCTTTCCTACGGATGTACCATTGATACTCGGTACGACTGTTCCGGTAGATCCTTTCTAATTTCAGTACAACAACAAAGTACTACGATCTCATATCGAGCTTTGTAAACCTTACCAAACCGATCACAGTTCAACCGCAACTCATTGGACCAATAAGCCATCCTATCATAACTTCCTGCCAACCGATTGCAGAGCGCCCACGCAGATATGCTGATGCGAACCTAAGTATCAACATATCTAAATGTGAATTTAGTGTAGCAGAAATAATTTTTCTTGGATACGATATAAATAGACATGGTATCAAACCGCCAGCAAATCGCATTGAAATCATAAAAAATTTTCGAAAACCTAATACAATAATGGAATAACGTCGCTTCCTTGGCATGGTCAAATTTTTTTCGAAAATGCTTACCCAATGCCGCACAAACACAAGCACCTCTTAAAGACATATGTAAGAAGTCCATAAAAAATGATAAAACTAAAATTTCTTGGACTTCACCTCTGTCTATTGCATTCCGACAATGCACTGAAGACTTCATGAATGCTTCGCAGCTGACGTTCTTGTCGTCTCTTATTACAGACGCTTCAGACATTGCAGTTGCAGCTCATCTCGATCAATTTCAAGACGGTTTATGGAAACCCGTTGCCTTCTTTTCCGCAAAACTTAACCCGACGCAGAAAAAGTACAGCACATATGATCGAGTACTCTTAGCAATTTGCCTTGCTATTAAACACTTCAGACATATACTTGCCATTTCGTTGTAAGGACCGATCACAAGCCAATTACATTTGCATTCCGTCAAAAATTAGACAAAGCCTCACCTAGCAGCTACGATATTTACATGCAGAATTTACTACATCTATAGTCCACCTTCCTGGTTCCGAAAATTTAGCAGCAGATGCATTATACCGAATCTGTGACATCATGATGCCTACAACTATAATACTAGAGGAAATACAGATGTACCAAGAAAACGGTGTAGAATTGCCTCAAGCAAAACAAAGCAATGTAATCCCATTAAAGAAAGCATATTTCAAGTCCGATGTAGAAATTTGATGTGATACGTCTACAACGACTTATTTAAAGCACTTGCCAACCTAACTGGAACTAATCACATCCACACAACACCGTATCATCATGCATCGAATGAAATGATTGAACGCTGGCGTCGTTCTTTGAAAGCAGCATTAATGTGTGGCAGTGGAACATTATGAATGAATCTTCTACCTACAGTACTCCTTGGTCTAAGAACTGCCTACAAAATTGATATCGGAGCTTCAGCAGCTGAAATGCTCTACTGTTGTACGCTTCGACCAGGAGAATTTTTCAACGATATTCACTACATTTTTTTACCAAATTTCGAGAACACATAAACACTCATGGCAACCGGTGTAAATTCTTACAAAAAAATATGAACACGTGCACACACGTATTCTTCAGAGCTGTCCACGTAAAAAAACGTTAGAGACAACTTACTCAGGACAATAATTGGTGAAAAAGCGAGTAATTGTTCGTGTTTATATGGTCGTGATAGACTGTAAAGAACTCAACGTCTCAGTTGAACGTCTAAATCCCTCATTTTTTACAAGAAATACGGACGATAAAGTGAAACCACTCAAGACGTACTCTAAAAAAATAGCATTTACTGAAGACACTCATTAAGCGGGGGAGTAACTGTGACATCACTTCACCAATGAACTGACAGAAAATGATAAAAAAGAAAAACAAATGTTCGGTAAAAATTGGCGCGAGTAAGAAGCGTCATCAGTCAACGATTAACTTTGTAAACGTATTCAATAAATATTAATAATAAATTGAGTTTTAATAAATAATGAAACTTACAACCCTTATGCCAAAGAATATCTGTATAAAAAAAAAACTCTTTGTTATCTAAGAATGACGTGCGAAATTTTTGCCGAAAATTCATTTTTTATAATATTTCGGTCACGCGTATTCAATGCATATTATTTCACAAAGTTTATGTCACATTTCGCTCTTTTAGGGCTGCAGTATTATTTTTTATTGCAAACCTTTTACAAAAGGATTATTACTATATTCCATTTTAGTATATTAAATATGTTTAGTAATATTAATGAAGAAAACTGGTTAAAATAAAAGTCTTGTTTATCTATAAATTAAATCTGTTCATAAAATTATATGTTTGATAGATTCGAGTACATTAAAAGCAGTTTGATCAGAAATAAAACTACTGAACGGGTTGAGCATATATAAGATACTACCTTTATTTCTTAAAATACTAGAGTTTAGATACAATTTTCTTATTCTACTTAATGTGCATAATTTGATAATCATGTGCCTAAACAATTATTGAACTTAACCTAAATAAATATGCGCCTAAAGCATGCACCTAAATAAATATGCGCACCTTTTGTGAGATAAACTTAAGATTAAGAGTTGTGTGCATGTGTACGAGATAAGCATACGCCTAAACAATTATTTGTATTTTACTTAAATATAACAAGTAAGTATAAGTTGCTAGAGTAATAGAATGTAATATAAAATAGACATATATAAATATATAAATGTTGAAAATTCTGCGGGCGTCTTTAATGCAGAAATAAATGTGTTCATGATTTAACAGTCTGCCATATAGTATCGCCTTCGGCTATATTATTTTTTTCTATTTGCCATTTGTTTCTTTTTTGTAATGTTGTCAAATATTCATGTTTCCATCTGTTCCAGAAATCTTTTTTCATTTTTTGCATGTGGTTCCAATGATCGAATTTGCTTGTTCTTTCGTCTGTAGTTGGTACTGGGTCGTCCAACTTTTGGAGTTAGTGCTTCTATACTTTCTACATCATTATTCGTGGTACAAAGTGGTCGAGAGTTTAGTACTGCTTCTATTTGATGCAGAAGTGTCGTCATTTCCTCATAGGTAAATTTTGATTCTCCAATTGTTCTTTTTAGATGATGTTTCATTGATTTGACACCAGCTTCCCATATACCTCCGAAATGAGGACTAGCTGGAGGAATGAAGTGCCATTCAATTTTGTCTGCTGCTAATATTGATGCTACTTCATTATTTTGTTTGATAGCTAATTCAAATTCTTTGTCTAGTTTGGTTGCTGCTCCAATAAATGTTGTACCATTGTCGGAGTACATATGTGCACTTTTTCCACGTCGTGCGAAAAATCTTTTTAATGCTGCTAAGAAGGCGTCAGATGTCAAGTTGGTGTCTGCTTCCAAATGAATTGCTTTTGTGGTCATGCATATAAATATTGCTATGTATGCTTTATATGATTTTTGCCCACGACCTCTATAACATCTCATTTGTATCGGTCCAGCATAGTCTATTCCTGTAAGTTTTAATGGGTAGTTTGGTGTTACTCTATATTTTGGTAGCTTTCCCATTATCTAATGTAATGTATTTCGTACAGTTACCGCATATTTTCTTGATTATTTTTTTAATACCTATTACCCAGTAGCGTCTTTTAATGTATGCTTCCATTACCGAGTTTCCGCCATGAAGTGTTTAATAGTGTGCTTATTCTGTTATAAATTCCATGTATTCTCTAACCAGAATAATTGGATGCTTCAGGTTTTCAGTTTGTTTGCTGTTAGTTAGTCTTGCTCCGACTCTTAATATACCTTCTTCATCTGTAAATGGTGTTAATTGAATAATTTTACTTCCTCTGCTGATTTTTTTTTTTTCTTTAAATAATTTCAGTTCTTCTGAAAAGTGTTTTTGTTGATGATATTTGATTAATATAGTTCTAGCCTCTTATAATTCTTTCTTTAATAAGTATTCTGCTTGATTTTTGTTTCTTCTGAGTCAGGTTATGAATGTTAGTATATATGCTATGATTTGTTCCAACCTAGTTAGACTGGGGTTTGTTTCTATAAGTTGTTCTATTATTTCGTTCTTTTGGCTTGTCAGTATTTTCGTTTCTTCCATATTTTCAGGTTTTGGCCAATCTTTTTCTTCTTTTGTTAGCCAAGAGGGTCCGTTCCACCATAAAAGATTATATTTCAATTTGGAAGGACATATTCCTCGGGAAGCTATATCTGCTGGATTTTCTTGTGACTTTACATGTTGCCATTTTGTTTCTGGTATCCATTTTTTTATATCTTCAACTCTTGTTCTTATAAATTTTTCTTTATTTTTAATATTTTTAATACAGCAATGGGTAATCATTGAGTCACTTCAACAGTATATTGTGGTGTTACTATTCAATATTTGTGATGCTTGTCTCATTAGTTTTGCAAATAAATGCGAAATCCACATCGCTCTAATTTTGGAATCGTTTTTTTTGTTTTTTATCGGCGATACTTTACTTTTAGCTGTTAGTAATTCTACAGATGAGCCAAGTTTTACGTATATGACAGCCGCGTATGCTGCTTTTGATGCATCGCAGAATCCGTGAAATTCCCAAGATTTTAAATTTGTAGTTCCTATCCATCTTGGTATTCTTATTTCATTATATATCATATTTACCATATTTTTTTTGTAAATCGTCATTGATCTCATCATTCCAGTCAAATTTATTTAGCCATATTTTTTGTATATATATTTTAGCTGTGACTGTTACTGGTGTCACCCAGTCTAATGGATCGAAAATATGCGCTGTGTTTGAAAGTATCATTCTTTTCGTCCATTTATTTATATCTTACATTTTTATAGTAAAATGGAAGTTATCTTTTATTGGATTCCATTTAAGTCTTAAAGTTTTTATTGATTCATTTTCATGTATATTAGGGGTATTCACTCTCTCTTGTAAACTCATTGCAAGGAGCACGAAATGCAAGAATGCTATACAAAAACTGCAAGACTGCGAGAACACCTCTGTTGCAGAATTGCATCATCAAAATGAATCAGCTGTTTTTGCAGCCGTATCACATTGAGCAAAGAAAAATAAAAGTATAACAATGCCGCGAACAAGTGAAATACAAAAATGTATAGATTTTTTTATTGAAAATAGTGCTTTTAATATTCTGATTGAAGCTATTAACATGTTGTTAATGTAGTTTTCACCTAATAAAATAAAGAAGCATTGTTAAGGTGTTCAGAGAACACTCTGAACCATTCGACGCCTCGCCTCTGATATAGACCAATAAGTCTATTTCCACAAATCTCAAAAATGTTCGAAAAAATTCTAATAAAAAATTCTGATATAATTCACGGATAGAAAACTTAATTCCGGACCATCACTTGGATTTCGCAAAGCGCATGGATTATTGAACAGGTCCTTAGAATATCTAACGAAATACACTTGGCTTTACACTAAAAACAAAATAGTACGGCAGTTTTTCTTGATACAGCTCAAGCATTTGGCAAAGTGTGGCTTGAAGGACTTTTACTTTATTTTATTTTTTTTTCTTTTTTCTTTTATTTATTCCATTGATATTACAACTATAATAGATATCTAGTAATACCTTTAACAAATGAAAATTTGGCAGTTTAAGTTATCTTGAATCATCATTTAAGATAAAATGTTAATGATAATGATATATTTTACACAAATTTTAATACATTTCATAAATAAATACATACATAAGTAAATAAAATAAATAAATAAATAATATAAAATAATAAAATAAAATACATAAGTAAATAAACAAATAAATAAATAAATAATTTAGATAAGTAGTTAGCACTGCTTTTATGAATTGTTTCATGTACAGTAGGGATATTCAGGTCGTTTCTGATATACCATCTAGCATCTACTATCGTTCGCAGGATATTTGATTGCAGCCTATGGATAGTACTTATATTAGGCTAAAAAGTGGTTCCTCATATTTCAATTCTATGTTTCCAAATCGGAACAATAATAGTTTCGTAAATTAATAGTTTGTTATCTATTGACAAACTGAAATTTTTACCAAGAAGTCAATATAGATCTGCAAATCTTCGATGAGCTTCCTTTTTTTCTGAATTATGTGCTCCTTCCAAGTCAGCTTTTGGTCTAATAGCATGCTCAAGTATTTGACTTTCTTGCAGATTGGTATATCAATGTTAACAATTTTCAATTTCTGTTCTTCAAATTTTCTGTTGATGAAAATAACTTGGACAGTTTTTGCGACGTTTATCTTTATCCCCCAGGTGTCAGACCAATGCATCACTTCGTTAAGATAATTTTGAAGGTTTACAGTTGCTTTTGTGATGTCATGGTTTGTTCATAAAAGTTCAGTGTCATCAGCAAACATTTCAGTTAGTATTTCTCGACTTTTTGGCTTAGGTATGTCTGCAGTGTATAATAAATATAGGATCGGGCCTAATACACTCCCTTGAGGGACACCGTCTTCTATTTTTATCATGTGGGATGTGTCGTTTTGATATTGCACAAAGAAGTATCTATCTTTAAATATTTATTTCAGTAGTAAATAAAAATCGGCCGCCAATATCCTTGATAGTTTGTAAAGCAATCCTTCGTAACAGTCACTGTCGAATGCTTTGAAATAAAAATTTAAAAAAAATGTAATTAATTAAATGAATCATACACTTACCTGATATATTTATGAATTATATTTCTATTTTCTTTGAAATTAATTTTATATTTATTAAATTAATATTTATTAAAAATTAAATTAAATAAATTTAAAAAAATCAAAAGAAGCACCGAATGCAATTTTAATCGCATTTTGCAATAATGAAAACAAAGCAGCAGAATAGAAAACAAGAACTGCCAAAAATATTCACCGCAAGAGAAGTTCAAAGAGACGTAAAGTGCACAAGCAGAACGGCAAAGTAAACAAGACTTGCGTGAGATCAGCTGTAAATAAAATGATACGCTACGAAAAAGCGCGGTTGGTTGAGTATTTAAGACCCGCATTTTTGTTCAGACGGAGACTTGTAAAATATTTACTAAGGCACATACACCTGGGGATTACAAATTCAAATTAGCACTAGTTGCACATAGAAAAATTTCGATATAAAGAAATTATTTACTCGAAGGAATATACTGTATTTAAAATTATTACATTGCGATCGGCTGTAGTACGCCTACTGCAAGTGAAATAATTTTTTAATCAAAACACAAATTAAATAATTTTTAATCAAAACACAAAGGAATATATCCATATCAGGATATATTCACACGAATGAATATATTGTATTTAAAATTATTACATTGCGATCGGCTGTAGTACGCCTACTGCAAGTGAAATAATTTTTAATCAAAACACAAAGGAATATATCCATATCAGGATATATTCACACGAAAGAATATCTTGCACAAAGGAATATATTCATATCGGGATATATTCACACGAAGGATTAGCTTGCATTCAGAAATTATATCATTACGATCGGCTGTAGTAAGCCTGCTGTAATAGCTATACTTCCAAGTTAAATACGAAAGAATATTTCCATATAAAGATTTATTCAACTGAAGGCATAATAAACAAAAGGGTACTTCGAAATAAAGAAGTATTCAAACTAAACCTCTCTCTATACGATCGGCTGTTACACACTTTACAATAACAGTTTCGAAGAAAACACCACCAACACAAGATATACACCAGGACATCCACGACTATTACTGTGCACTGGATCGATTGGTATTCATCACAATAATAACACAATTAAATATTTCATTATTGTCTAATTTTTCTTGAATTATAATTTTTTTATTATAATAAATTATAAACCTAATAAACAAAATAACGTCTTTGAGTATTTTGGTCACAACCAGAAATTTATTGTAACGATTCTGGATAGGCTGAGCATACCTCAGCAAATAAACAACGACCCCAATGAAGTGTCGTTACAAGTTATTACGGGTAATTCTTGAAGAAATTCACCAGATATCTCATCATAGCCTGGTGATTTTTTTGGTTGATATTAACGGCGATGATGGTTTTTATTTCAGCAATTGTTATCTTCTTAATTTTAACGTTCTTCTGGCGCATGATTTGTATCATTTTTAGGGTTTGTAAATGTGCTTTTAAAATACTCAGCGAGAACAGTTGCTTTTTTTTTTATTTGTGCGTGTTTTTTAAGCGGTGTGCAATGAAGTATGGCACGATTAATACTCTTTGTCGGTTTCCATAAGGAGTAATTTGTAACCTTTGTAGCACTCAATCTTAAGAGATACACTTTTTTGTCTTTCAGCCTCCAATTCTTTCAGCCTTTTTGTTAATTTGTTTAACTTTGTCTTTATGTATGGAACTCTAGATCCTTGCCAAATTTTTCTCAACTTTCTTTTTTGTTCTATTTTATGTTTGATGTGATTCGGGACAGATATTATTGGTGTAGATGCAGATGCTTCAGATAATAGTAGAGTATTGAAATGAATTATTGCATTATTTATTTCCTCTTTTGTTCTTAGAGCTACATTTATAACTAATTATTCTTCTATTAGCTAACGATATGTATCCCAACACGTTTTATAATTGTATGTATTATCGTTCGT